CTGTGATGCCATGGCACTCTACCCAGGGGGATAGCTTGAGGCTCTGTCTCAAAAAAAAAAAAAAAACCACTGAGGGATCTTGGGGAGTCTAGTGTTAAACCATTCATAGATGACCTGCTTCTGGTCAGGGTTTCATATATAGCAAAGTAGCTCCCTACCTACAATCTGGTGAAAGTCAGCCCCTCAATGTAATGGCTTATAAAATTAAAAAAAAAAAGTTTAAAAAAGAAAACAGCCAAGAGCAGTGGCACCTGCCTATAGTCCCTGCCATTTGGGAAATTGAAGTAGGAGGATCACTTGAGCCCAGGAGCTCAAGGCTACAGCAAGCTATGATCACACCTGTGAATAGATGCTGCACTCCAGCCTAGGCAGCATAGCAAGACACTCACTCTAAAAAATTAAATTAAATTAAAAAATTGAAGTTTAAAAGAAAACAAACTCAGCTTGGTGCCTGTAGCTCAAGTGGCTAAGGCGCCAGCCACACACACTGGAGTTGGCGGGTATGAATCCAGCCTGGGCCCACCAAACAACAATGACAACTACAACCAAAAAACAGCTGGCCCTGGCCAGCAAAAACAGCAATGGCAACTGCAACAAAAAAAAAAGCCAGGTGTTGTGGCAGGCGCCTGTAGTCCCAACTACTCCGGAGGCTGAGGCAAGAGAATTACCTAAGCCCAAGAGTTGGAGGTTGCTGTGAGCTGTGACACCATAGCACTCTACCGAGGGCAATAAAGTGACATTCTGTCTCTAAAAATAAATAAATAAAAATAAACTCTAAACATGAAGATATCTGTGCATAAATCTGTTTAGATTTTGGATCACTTCCTTTGAACAGATTCCTAGCAGAATTTACTGGGTAAAAGAGTTTACATAATTTTAAATGTTCTTGCAACATACTGCCAAATTATTTTCAACCAATACTCCAACAATTCATGGAGAGGCTTAATGAAAGCACTTTGAAAATATTGAACATTAATAGCCGGGCGTTGTGGCAGGCACCTGTAGTCCCAGCTACTCAGGAGGCTGAGGCAAGAGAATCGCCTAAGCCCAAGAGCTGGAGGTTGCTGTGAACTGTGACGACACAGCACTCTACCAGGGGTGACAAACTGAGACTCTGTCTCTAAAAAAAAAAAAAAAAGAAAATATTGAACATTGTCATTTTTTTCAGCTTTCTGTATCACTGATTTAATTTTCATTATTTTTTTGTTATTGTTAGAGTTTCACTCTCTTGCCTTGGATAGAGCACTGTGATGTCATAGCTCACAGCAAACTCAAACTCTTGGGCTCAAGTGATCCTCTTCCCTAAGCCTCTCAAATAGCTGGAACTAAAGGTGTGTATCACCATGCCTGGCTAGTTTTTAGGCTGATCTCGAACTCCTGAGCTCTG